AGGCGTGAGCCCATTGGCCATGTGCAACTTGTAGGAGCTCAGAGTTTGGTGATACCTGGCGTCCCCAAGTCAGCCTTTGAAAACCCTATGGTGCTGACACACATGGGCTTACGCTGAGTCAGAAATGACTCAATGGCCACTGGTTGAGGCAACTGTCAGGAGGCAAGTGTAGGAGCTACTGGTGTAGCAACTTTTTTAGGGGGGAGCAGCTACAAGATAGATCATTGGCGAAGATCTGAAACCTCGTGCCATTTTAATGTAGTGTAGAGGGGTTCAGATATGAGGACAGGTGACAAGAAGCCATTCTGATCAAGTAGTCTTTTCCCTCTTTTTTTTTTAAATTGTGGTAAGAACACAGGCAGCCAGCTGGTTGCCATTTCCACTCGAATTTCTTTACCTGCACCATTCACTGGCATTAGTTACATCCACCAGGTCGTGCAGCCAGCACTGGTCTCTTTCCCCAAATGCTTCTATCATGCTTCAAGTGGGCAAATGCTGCGGGTTTCATGTCCCCATGGCTACTGGGGTTATCAGATGGGGAGGGCGGCTTGGAGAGGGAGTCAAACAGGTACAAAGCTCCGGGTAGGAACTGTCTTTACACACTCTGAAGGACGGAGAATATGGCTCTAGACTCTAGCAGTTGTTGTACAGAACGGCTAAATGTAACACACACACACACACACACACACGCACACGCACACGCACGCGCAAGTAACTCAAAACTGCTGTAATCATTACCAGTCACTAGCCGTGACATATTCCTGTAGATTCGGGGCCTGCTGAGTGACCTTTTTTGGAGAACAAACAGCCAAGCTGCCTGCTGTTCTATGAATGCGTCTACTAGAGAGACAGACCATTAGCATTTTTCATGCGAACTGTAAGCAGCCTTGTGTCACCAGCCGAGGGGATCAGTCCTGAGATGTGGCAGAAATTGCCACAAGTGCTCAAGATTTCGCCCCCAGAAGACCATCAGCTCCTGAACCTGATGCTTGTAGGGCAGGAGAGCTGTTGGCCTGGGCACTGAAGGCGGAGGCAGTGGGGTGGATAATTAAGATGTTGAACCTGGCTTGGAGTCAGCCAGGCCTGGATTTGAATTCCAGACCTGTCGTTACCATCAACTCCCATTTCTGAGTTTAGTTTCACCGTCTATAATATAGTAGGGACCAGGGCACCTAATATCTTGCTATTTGAATTAAATAAGACACTGCACTTGCTTGCTTAAATCCATGCCAAAGAGGGCAGATCTAGGTGATTCCAGTACCTAAACCCTCCCTTTTACGGCCTTTCCCTGTTATAGCCAATATATTCATTTTTTTTTCTTCAAAAAACACTTATATGATTTCACTTTGTATTTCCCCTATGACTTAACAGTGATTTTATTGAGTGCTTTAAAAAACCCAGGGAGCCAGTTTTTCTGTGATTTGGTTTGTTATTGATTTTCTAGTTTTAGTCCGCCAGCCTCAGAGAGGCATGTTTGTATTGTTTCTGCCTCGCGGAGATTACTGTGGAGCTCTGTGAAACTGATACTTGGTGCACTTTGTGATCACTCTACGCGCATCCAGACAGAAAGCCTCCTCTAGTCTCTGCTCACCAGCTACCGCGTTTACCACCCAGCCAGATCTGCCTCCTGGAGATGGTTTGGGGATTCTCTGCCTTCCCCACTTGGGCCCCCACACAAAACATGCGTTTCTTTTTCTTTTCTCCTCTTCTTCATCTGAGTGCCAGGCTCAGCTCAGACCTGTCGTCCTGCTGTGTGTCTTTGGGTGCCTGGATCCCTCTTTCCTGCAGTACGTTGAGTCACGTCCAGATGCGCAGCCCTTCGGTGGTAACTTGTTTGCATCAGCAGGTTTGCATGTTCAGTGCTGCCTCACCGGGTCCCGCACCCTGGTAAGACAGGCTGTCCCTCTCCCACGTTTGGGAGGGGCCTGACATGCACGTGTTGGTGGTGGGCACGAATAGCGAGGCCTTAAAACACCTCCAAACACATTTTCTCTCCCGCGTTGGCGGTCAGAGTACATGTTGGATAAAGGCCTGATGTCTTCTGAAATGGTCTCTAAGCTACGACTACGTAACCTGGGAGGACTTCTCGTAGCACAGAAACCTGAGGTTGCAAGAATTGTCAGTCAAGCTCCCTCCCTCCGACACTCATGGTTTCCACCGCACCCCAGGGCGTTTACCAGACGCTGCATGCCACCTATACTCTACAGGTTGGGGTCTGGCCCCCACTACGCCATGAGCTAGTAGGTTTCAAAAAGTTGGTGGGAACATTCCCGTCTCTTTTAAATGCATACTTGTTGAGGACTCTTCGTGGACCTACAAGACGTTGGAAACTCACCTGCTCTCTAAGCTTCAGGTGGTGCTGTTTTTTAACCTGCACAATGGACATGATGATTGAAGGGGAACTAAAGAGAATTACCACTTCAGATGGTTAGAAGAGTGGTGCAGGTCATGTGAAGGCTCAGGTGGGTAATTAATTGCCTGCCCTAAGTTTACGGCCTGGGGAGTGATTAGCAGGGTGGCTCTTGTTAGAGAGGAAGTCTCCACTGGGCTTCTGTAGATTCTAGGTCTGTGTGGGCCTGATAATGCCAGATGCTGTGATTTTACTGGAAAAACAGCAAGGGTCTCTTTAAAACCACTCCATAAACCATAGAAAGGCCCATCTGTGGACTGGTGACACCTGGAAGTCTTTGACTCTGTGCTGTCCCTGCTTTCAAGTGCTTGACATCATGCCTAACCTCAGAGAGGCAACACAATCAATTATGCATTTATCAGATCTGAACCCTTAGACTTCGGATTCGGGGTGGAACGGACTTGCTTGGTTGGAGGATAAGGAAAATGCCTGGGAGGAGGAGACTGAGGGCAACCAGGACATCAACAGCCGGCCAGGAAACCAGCAGAGGTGGAGGGGACAAGGCAGCAAGTAGGCGGGGATCATCTCACTGAGCCTCCTCACCCGCCCAGCCCATCTCTCCCAGGACTGCCCTGCTGGTCCGCCCTGGAACTCAGGCCCACGCAACCCATCCCTGTGCAGACACAACCCCCAACAGATGCGGGGCAGGGGAGCAGAGGAGTAAAGATGCAGTTGGCAGATGTCAGAAGGACCCCAGCAGCTTCCGAAGAGTTGGTTTATGAGCAGCAAAACAGAACAGCACTGAGCTGGGACCAAGGATGCAACTTTCTCCCCGCACCTCTGCCCTTTGGCTTTTCCTCATCGGCAACCCCAATCCCAGCCAACTACTCCCACTGGGGCCAGTTGCAGCTGTTCCACACATGCTATCAATAAGGGCCAGTAGAACACGTCCTATTTTTAGCACTGTAACGTGACGCAAAGGTCACCACGAGTCCCCATTGGCTGGCTCAATTGCTTTCCCTCTCTTCCTCCTTCTCTTCCTTTCCTCTCTCGCCAAGATGTAGGTTTTTGACTTTTGGTGAATTCAAGTAAGACGAATGGGGGAGAGGGACCCCCCTAAAGAACTGCCTACTCTTGGCTGGACTCCCAGTAACCACCACCAGGCAGGGAGAGCTATCGGAGCAGCGGCATGTGAAGGCATGCATGGACATCGGGAAGCAGCATCCACGCTTGGACCAAAGCCATGCCGTTTTCTGTCCCGGGCGCAAGGCAGGTTTAGAGTGAAAACAGCTCCCAGGATCAGCTCAGGACCCCGCCCAGTACCCAGCCGAGGGCACCAGGCCTGAAACAGACCCCCACCCCAAACCCATTGCTGTCCAGCGGAGTCAGCATCTACTGCTCGCGCCTGTTTCCGTTTTAAAAATAAGTGAATCATAGTTGCGTGAGAGTTTACAGAGCGCATTCACAACTGATCTATGGTTCACCTTGTGATGTCAGCTGCAGAAACCTCTCAGTGTGAAAGCACTCTTTTGACTTCCTCCGTGGTCTCTCCTGCCCCCTCCTCCCTTCTGAGCTTTGTGTTTGTGGCAAATGCTGCTGACCTCGTCTCCTTGTCTCCTAGGGCAGGCTGTTCACAGGATGATCTTCCTCGGGGACAGGGCTGCTCACTTTCTAGGGCTGTCTTTCAACCGATAGGCTGAAAGGGAATTCCCTGGGGGTGGGTTCAGTTCCAGGTTTGAAGGGTCTCTAAAAGCCTTAGTCTTGGGGATTCCAGAAGCCTCTGTCAGACCAGTAAGTCTGTTTTCCAGGACCATGAATGTTGTTCTTCACTTTTCTCTCCCTCTGTCCAGCCCATCAGAGTAGTCGGCTGTGGTGACAGGGCACCAATTAGTTCTTCTGGTCTTGGGGTGTGTGTGACCCGCTTGTCCTTTGGACTGACTGTTTCCCCGAGTCTTGTATTTTCTTCAGGGTTTTCAGGGACTGATTTTCTGAAGTAGATTGCCAGGCCTTTATTCCAAGGTGCTTCTGGGTGGGCTTAAACTGCCAATCTTCTGGTGATCAGACGAGAATGTGAACAGCTTGTACCAGCCAGGGGCTCTCCTAGAGACCCAGAGGCGGTGATTTGCTTCTTACCACCTAATGTTGATTGGAAATACCCTTAGGGTTTACCTTTCTAGGCAGTTTCCCAGTGTTAAGCACTTTCTATGGATTTACCTAGAATCCTAATAGCCCAGTGAGGTATCTATTTTAACTACTCCCCATTTACAGATGACAACACTGTGGGGTAGAAGGCTTAAGTAACTTGCCTGAAGTCACACAGACTGGCTATGACAGAGCCGGGAAGAAACTCAGGGTCCCTACTCCAATTCCACAGGCTTTCCCTAAGCAGAGCTCAGAGCTCAGCTCCTGCCAATCACTACTCATGTAGCTGAAGGGCAGGTAGGCGGAGGGTGGAGGTTGAGAAGGAAGTAGGGAAAGAAGAGGAAACCCAGGCCTGGGACTGCTCATTCTCTCCGTGTGGCCCTTTGGTGCCCTTCTTTGGAAACCATCACGTATGTTCAAGATCCTAGATCTGCCCATCAAGGCCCCCTCAGAACCCCAAAGGCTCAAGAGCCGAGGCTATGGGGAGTGGAGCTGTGGGCCCCATTACCTGTTTTCAGGGTCAGCCAAGGCCAGACTCCGAGTGACGTAGCACCTCTTGAGGGGGATGCTTTTCCGGTCTCTATGGAAGGAGAAGGACTGCGGCGTCACAGGGTCTGAGGAGGCGG